TTAACACCCCATTTCAGTGAATGTGTTAACACCCCACTCACGTCAGGTGAATGGTGTTAACACCACCATTCACTGAGTGTGGTGTTAACACCACACTTCACTTCAGTGAATGTGTTAACACCACATCTCAGTGAATGTGTTAACACATACTTTGAAGAATGGTGTTAACAACACACTTCAGATATTGTGCTGACGTCACACTTTTGAGAATGTGTTAAAGTCATACTTGATAGAATGATGTTAACACCACTTCAAGCGATGACATTGATATCGCATTTTTAACAAGGATGCTAACACAATACTTTAGACAAGACTGTTAACTTTATAAGGAATAAAGTGCACTCGAAATACATAATTATGATGTAAAAATAAAAAAAAATTTGATTCCCTAAACATATGCATGAATCATTGGTACTTTCTACATGCACTAGAATATAATGAAATGGATCTGGAGCATCACCAGATGTGTCAAAATAAAAATTTCAATAAATTATGCAATATTGCTATCCACCTTTATCTTACAATACTGTATATATTGTATAGAGTTCTCTTAATATAACTTTATTCAAACATTTTAAAGAGAGTAGCAGGTATTTATTTTTTAATGACATTTTGAGAAACAAGACATTAATAAAAGTTTATCGTTTATAAAAAAATATTTTATTTTCAGAGAATTATGCAACAGAATGTACAAACATGTATTTCTTTTGTGTCGTGTTGTGAATCATTGATAAAGATATTAGGCAACACATCAACATTAATTAACCATTCCGCTCACTGCGAGAATCGCGCGTTATGCGTGAAATCATACATAAAATGGACAAACAAAGGCCATAGCATGGTTGTGGCGTCAAACAGCGTGTGGGATTCGACAAAGTATTTTGGGGATATTTCCATGCTTAATGTGCTGTAAACAGTTGATGGCAGTCAATTTTGATGAAGTAAGGGTGCTCAAAAGCAATATTCCTCTGTCGAAGATCGGCCGGTCGATGTGAGCTACGAAATAAAGAAATTAAAGTTCAAAATCAAATCGTTCGATTTTTGCAGCAGACGTTCGACGCACGTCTTTCATGCTAATCGCGAGATCTCGCAGTTGAACGGAAAATCTCCTATTATTGTAGTTCAAGTGATAATAAAGTTCCGCAGTCGCAACATGTTGTGTTCAATGTGGGGCGCATGAAAAAAAAGTTCTTCATCAACATGAAATCTAAATGCATGCTGCGTGGTGACTTGACGCTTTAATTTTTTATAGTGAAAGCAATTTTTATTTTAAAGATTAATATAAAATATCGTCACATGATTATGGTGTATATTGTTCCCGGTTTAAACATTTAGTGTCACTAGCTGATATGGTACAGTAAATGATTTTCACAACATTTATACATATGCGAATGCAAAAACAAATCATGCGACAGTTTAGTATGTATTGTAGCGATATGAGGATTTCGGATTTACATTTTTGTATTTGAGTAGAATTATTCAAATGATGTAATGACATTAGCATCAAACAAGTTCCAATTTTGCTGTCATTTTGGCACACAAAGTTGGTCATGTGATAAAAAGGCTATTTCACTTGTTCAGTTTGTGGATAATACGAGCCCATGATACCAACTTATCTAAGAATCGTGATGTCAGGTTTGTCATTACCTTGTACAATTATAATGTCGTCACTTGCTTCTATACTTAATTTTTAAAATGAAATGTACAACTTCCAAAAGTTGTGTCTTTTGACGGATTATTTGAAAGTGATATTTTTGTAGTAATATTTATTTGACTTAAGTACATTTTTTTTTACTCTTTGGTAGAGACTGCTTGAAATGTTAAGTAACTTTTATACTTTGAATTACAACAAACAATTTCACCAGTTAAAATATTCCAATTATGATAGAACACTGCTATAAACAAATCACATTTCTCATTCTGTTTAGACAAGTTTTTACTATATATATTGACAATCAATCAATTATTATTTTGTTTAATTTGATCGCATGATAGAAGGAGCAGGTATCATACAAGGCTCAACTTTTAACTCAGAGTCCTTAACTTACTGTACAACTGTAAACAAGTAAACATCTTTTTTACAAATTGCAATGATGTATGACAAAATGAAAAAAACAGAAAATGTAAATCACATCAGGTGACAAAAGATGAGAAATACACTAATTTTCATATTTACTTAATTTGCATTTTCTTTAAAATTCTCTCCTCTAATCATAATATATATATATACATACATATATATATAATATAACATCCACTTTCTGCTACATTGCATGGTTAACTTATGTTCTTTGAGTTAGCACCACAGTCGTACAATTCATATTTGTGAAGCAATTCATGTTTTGTTTTGCTCACTTTGCATGTATTCGGGTGTGGTACATGTATGCTGCCCTCTGTGGCAGGTATGAGTCAAAAACATTCTGTTATCTCTCAATAGAGTAAAAAAATTCTGCCCCACCACAGTATACAAGAGTAACCCATAGACTCAATTCTAGATTGAGATAGATTTCTACGAAGGCCAATCTAGGGAGAAATGCAAAAACATTTCATTTACAATGTGCAATTGTTTCTAAAATAGATAATAAAATATTTTACTTTATTATAAAAGAATTCTTCTTGACTGTTCTTTAGTTTTGCTGTGCAAAGTAATTTTAAATATTATAATGGTGTGGGATTGGTCAAATTTGTTTCTCTGCAACAAGTGATGGAACAATGTTGTTTGCTTGTAGATTTAGATGAAATTTTCGTCAACCAGTTTTATAAAATTAGGAAGATTTTAAAGAGTAGTTTTATAGATCCAGGCATGGAGCCGTGAACAGCCATTGGTGGCGCTGTATACATTCAAAATATATTAAGGCTTGCCTCTGCTCATTCAGACTTGTGTACAGGCCAAAAACAGTTGTTAAATTTGGTGACCAGTTTAGTATGATAGAAAGCGTGTACAGTTTTTAAATTACCACAATAGACAGAGTTAAAGGTTGTTAGCATATTGCATATGCAGTGAGAATGCTTCGGGCCCTTTTCAGTATTCCACAACCAATGCATCATCACAGTGAGTCAATTGCAATTTAAAAATCCAACCTATAACGGGTCAGTCAGCAAAACGCTCCATAGAATTATATGGGATTTAATGACAATGGTCATTATTATGCAGTATATTACACTTTGATAATTTGTATAGATAGTCAATATACCTTATCTTTCTATGTAAATAAGAAAAACACAAGAGTATTTTCACAGCTTTGAAGAGGAGAAAATTATGGAACCTTTCCCTGGAGAAGTTAATGAAATGTGAAGTTACTCTTCGTTTACAATTGAAAATACTCTCAATTATTTTAAATACTTCACAATGGAGCCAGATTACTTGGTGAATCACTTTTCCACAATAGAATACAGTCCGACAATATGCTGTGGTCTTTGTGCTGTTTTCTGTTTTAAATAAATTGTAGACTTGTCGAGTGATATAAAATAAGCAGGTATTTCTTGCAGTATATTTAATCAAAGACGCGCATATTAAGTATCGAAGTACAGTTGATGACTGAATAATTACTAGCAGACTACAGCAACATGCCAGAGTTTAAGGTGAGCTGCTGTGAAGCTATTGGTCAGAATGATGATTAAATGACGCCCATGAAACACAGTAAAAAGGCAAATTAACAGTGAATAATCTGTTCAATGTATACTATGAATTTCATGAAGGCATGAATTTGTTTTATATGAAATATTTATACATGTTTTATAAATTTAAATTTAATACTTTGAATAAAAGTACGCCAATCATACCATGTTTACCATGGCAGTAAATCAACCAATGACTGTAGGAAACTTGCAAAGACTCATGGGTAATGGAATTACCAATAGTCTTCTTTGTATTTTGAGTGTGAGAGGATCTTCCAGGGTAAATGTTTTATAAATATTTTATAAATTACTAAAAAAGACAGTCGTCTCACCATGTCATGTTTGATATGCGTCCTATAGCTACATATACAACATGTGTGAAATGCATTGATTGTTTATTCAAATACTCAATTGTGTCAATCTGAAGAGCTCTGACTGCAGAGAATATTTCTTGTGATAATCCTAATTGTTTGTTAACCTGAAAAAAATAAAATGTAAATACATATTGTATTGGAAATACAAATAGGAGAACACATTTTAAAGAAAAGTACAAGAGTGTGGGGAAATTAAAGTTTTTTCTCCAATCTTCAAAGACCTGTTCATATTTCTAAATGGTTCACCTTCTCTAACAAAAGTGAATACAACAAATCAAGCAAACAATACTATTTTGACTAATTATGGATTTCATTTTTGAAATTTGAGCAAGACCTGAAAGAAAACAATTTCCCCTGATTAGTCTTACATCGCCATAAAAACATGTTATTGTATGCTTTCAATAGTGAATGTATTCTAAAATCAGTTTGTATAATTCATATCCTCGAGGGCGGAGCTACGTCACAGACGTTCCACGTTGCTTACGACGCGCACCACTGTACATGCATTTCTATGGGCTCTGTGCGCGCTGCTGTGGAAAAGGCTGGTCGAGCCGGTGAAAATTCGAGAAAACAACACAAACTCAACTTTGAAGTAATCCCGAACAACCAAATTTATATATGTTACACACGTAGGGCTAATCTTGTTACACTGTTCAGAGGAGTCTCAACAATCATCCCAAAGTACCGTTTTCTGCGAGTTTTGGGCCTTTGTTTTCACCGCCGCCGGTTGCCAGGCGGTGAAAATGCCCGGATGTCCGCCCCCTAGGATAAATTATACTGAGTACATGAATAAATAAAATGAAACCATTCACAATTTTATTCAAACGTATGAGTAGGTATATACTGATTGCCATTCAAATGCCAATGAATATGGATGATAAGCAGCATTTGCTGTACTTTTAAAGATGAATATACATACATGGCTTTATAAGTCTTCCAAAGCAGTTTATTGGGTTTGAGTAAAAACAACTGAAACTGGACATTTGCCACAGATGGCGCTTTCTTGTGATATCACTTTATTAAAGGGCGGCAGTCGTCGTGAACCGTCCTGTTCGATATGGGACTCATAGCGACGTATACAACGTGTGTAAAATACATTGTTTATTTACATGAAATTTGAACACGCGCTTTAATTTACTACAATTACTACAATTCGTCGTTGGTTAAACATTGTGTAGTTTTGGGAATTATCCGCCGCATTGTCATGTTGAAAGTATCGACATTCTACAGATACAATTACCACATATGATTAAATCAGAAATAATTTTACTTGTATCGTACATGACTGTTAGATGGGTCGTCACCAGCGCACACGCTGGAACTGAGTCCCAAGCTACGATAAAAACGCATGCCAGAAACGAAAAGGCTCATGGGTAGACATTTGTTAGTAAACAACGAGACGCTATGGCCGTTTGCCGCATGCGCAGGTGACGACATCCCCGCTTTAAATGTGCTCTTGGTGAAGCAGGTAAGAGTAATTCTAGATGGATAAAACGTATAGAAAATATAATGGGCCACAAGGATTTTGAAACAATAAAATTAAGCAATAAAGTGAATAACGTTGATCAAATATCAAATGTTGTTAAAATAAAACTCACAAAATAATATGAAAAATTATTGAAAGAAAGATTAAATTCTCCTCACAGTAAAAATGGTAAAGATGGCAATAGAAACATACTTAACCGAAATAACAAACTTGTGAGTATTGTGAGTAAATTTCGACTTAGTGATCATAATTTAGAAATTGAAAGAGGCAGACAACAACGACCAAAGATTTCTGCGGAAGAGCGATTTGGTAAAAAATGTCATACAAATTTACATGTAGTTGAGGACGAACAACATTTTACCGTAGACTGTGAATTTTTCGACAAAGGAATCAAAAATAAACTAAATAAAACAAACAATTTCATTCAAATACAGACATGCTTTATACCCCTAGCAAAGTTTCTAAATAAAGCAAAACAGAAATCAAGTATATTAAAGCTATCATCTTCACAGTGAAAGTATCCTGTAATTCACTTTCAATTTTTCCTATTAAGCTTTTAACATCTCTTAATTTTGTTTTTATTTTATCATAGTTTATTTATTTAGCTACTGTATATTTTAGGATTCAGAGGTGGCGGCACTATATTTTGCATGGAGGGGCGAGATCTGCTCCCCACCCCTTGTGCTGAAAGCGCAAGCTTACTAGGGGGGATCCAGGGGTATACTCCCCCTTAACAATTTGAAATCTAGTCCTTCTGAAACGCTATTTCCTGCATTTTGAGGGGCAAATTTTGCTGACACAAAGGGTTTCAGCTTGATTTTGGAGGGGGCGACGCCTCTCCAACATTTTTTTCGAGGCCCCCCTGTGCCGCCGCCACTGATTTGTATTTTATTTTACTATACTGTATACTATGCCCTCTGATGGCATAGTAGTGTACATATACAACAAAAAGACTAAAACAGAAAATTATTCATTGATATCAGACTTCCCTGGTAGCAATTTACTGGAGCCTGTTCTCTGTATGGCCGATGAGATTGCTTTGTGTTAGGGGAATTATTGAAGAATGTAAACCCGCAGTATAACGAGCAAAATGTACCTAATCATTTGTGAAACTAATTCTATGCCTTATTTTTCTCTGTGTTTACACTATCAGAAACAAAAGTTGATATACTTTGGAGTCGAACAGAGTAAAATGTGTCTGAACTTAAGCATTTCAATATTTGGAAAAAGCATGATTCACACAAATTTAAGTAATGGTTTTTCAAACAATAATATCGAGTCATAAATATAGACATATACAGATGATAAGATTTGAAAACTGTTCACTAGACAAATTTATTTATATTGGGAGATTTTTTTTGTACTAAAGATTTATGTTAAATAATTGATATGTATAAACCTGATTCTAGCCCACACCATGAGAAATATTAGTTCGACCCTAAAATAAGGAGATTAACATCATTTTGGGTCCATTGGTTCTCAGACGATCAAAGTTCAAATGCATTGTACAAAGGTACCGGGGCAAAAGTACACTGGTATCATACAAAGAACATACAGAATGCTGTACAAAAGTCGTTGATGACCCAGTTCTGTACTCGACTCCCTAAATAGCGATCATAAAGATCTCTGTCGCATCGTAGCCTCACTGTAGCTTTCATTTGTAACACATAAAAGCATTAAGAATGTCTGTACAGTTACCTCACCCATGTATCAATGCGATGCCGGATAAGAGAACCATTGATGAGTTGATTCCTGACATGCCGGTAGGACCGATAGATAAATACAGAAAATCAGCCACGTTTGACTGGAAACAAATGAAAATGTTTCTAGAAGGAGAAGATTGTATCCGATATCAGGTCAGTCCTAAATTCCTCTCCCCTTTCCAAAAAAAAATATTGACTGGAATATGTGTTGTTTTAATATCTATGCATTACTTTAGGAGAATCTAATCCGGGGAAAATTTGAATATGACTATATTTTTTGTTTAATATTTTATTTTTGTCAACTCTAAATCTCTTCTCAATTTTATAAATTTCAATGGCAGTTTGAAAATTTGTAATTGCTACTCAATAGAAATCGTTCATTTTAGTTTGAATTGTAAAATTTATGAATATTTATAAAGGTAAAGGGAATGCTTTTGTTAACAGAATCAGTTATCTTGTTATACTATTGCCCATATATGGCCTTCAAATGATGTTACTTTGTCACCATAGCAACTGCCTAGATAAAAGCTGAAAAATGTTGTTTATTTGAATGATGTGAAGTATTTGTAACTTGAGCTGAAAAAAGCAATTTTGTGTTTTCGGCAAGAGCTAGGCTGTACTTTCTTTGATTGCTAATAAGCTTATACATTTAGTTTATTGGTAAAGCATGGTTGTGGTGTAACTACAGAATATGAAAAGTGACTGTGCTAATTATCCACTAAATAAATAAAAGTAAATTAAGGCGCGATGGTCGTCATGCAGTGCGTGTTCGAATTTTATGTAAATAAACAATGTATTTTACATGCGTTGTATACGTCGCTATGAGTCCCATATTCAACAGGACGCGGCGCGACGACTGCCGCCCTTTAAATAAAAAAAATACAACAATGGTGGAATGGCCACAATTAATTTGCACAGAAATAAACCAAGCTTGCAGACTGTCTAAAAATAACATATTTGCTGATTGGCTGATAAAAACTTGCAGACAATCTGCAAATAAAACATTTGCAGATAACTATTTTCCGACAGTCTACAAATAACATATTTGCTGATTGGCTGATAACTACTTGCCAACATTCTACAAACAACACAGTTACTGATTAGCTGATAACTACTTACTGACAGCTACATCGATATAATGAAATCTAAACCTTGACCAAGATTTGGCATCAAGAGAATTTCATTAATGGCTGTGGTAATTTTCAGCCATTTTCATTCACTATGGTTTGCACAGCTTGTTTTAATGTGTTGATCTATATACTTTAATTTATTTTTCAAATTCTGAAGAAAACAAATATTACTCTTAGCAGAGGCACACAGGGTTATGGCCGGAAAATGAAAAATTCCTGTCTAAAATCTAATATTGAAATGCAACATGATAGTTGCTGACTTGTAGTCTATTTTTTGTTGATTTGGTGAAATCAAAATAAAAAATCAACTGGTTTGTAGACATTTTACCTGTTAAATGGAGTGCCTGTCTAAAATTACAAGAAGAGAGTTCACTTCGGTGAAAAATATCAAGAATTCCTACATGTATACGCGTCTAATTTGCATAATTATTTTATTGCTTTTAATACTTTTGTTTGTGTCTTATTTACTCAAATTACTCAACCATAACAATAACTATGGGATGCCAAAATATATATCTTGGTAGTTTAGGTTATTCAATAATTACCAAAAAAACTCATTTGCATATCATTTGTAGATGCTACAAATGTCATTCCATGGTAAATGAGTAATAAACAATTTGTTATATCGCATACATCTTACATATTTTTTTAATATTTCATATCTCTACATCAGAATGAAATATGGGACCTCTTAGAAAAGGATCCGTTGTTTGCACGTTCAGTCGGTACTGTATCAGTTAATGAGATGCGTATGCTGGTTTTTCAAAGGGTCAAGCGTTTATCTGAATATTACTTTCTAACACAAGAAAAGTTGCTTGAAAATCCAATGGTCTATCTGTGGTTTTTTAGTGCCATAGGTCTTTACGATTGGGCATTACCTACTAAGTTCTTACTCAGCACACAGGTCTGTATACTGTTAATATTTTAGAGCAGTTAGTGTACTGTTAATTTTAAAAGTATTGAGAGCCCTTAGTATACTTTTAATTTTAAAAGTATTAAGAGCCCTTAGTATACTGCTAATATCTCAAGTATTGAGAGCCCTTAGTATGCTTGCTAATATTTAAAGTATTAAGAGCCCTTAGTATACTGCTAATATTTAAAGTATTAAGAGCCCTTAGTATACTGCTAATATTTAAAGTATTAAGAGCCCTTAGTATACTGCTAATATTTAAAGTATTAAGAGCCCTTAGTATACTGCTAATATTTAAAATATTAAGAGCCCTTAGTATACTGCTAATATTTAAAGTATCGAGAGCCCTTAGTATACTGCAAATATTTAAAGTATTAAGAGCCCTTAGTATACTGCTAATATTTAAACTATTGAGAGCCCTTAGTATACTGCAAATATTTAAAGTATTGAGAGCCCTTAGTATGCTGCTAATATTTAAAGTATTAAGAGCCC